AAAGATTTGAAAAGCTCTGATTGAAAAAAAAAGTACAAGAGACAATGAACGGATGATTATCAGCTAGTTAAGGTAAAATTTTTCTCTACATAATTCCCAGGAAACATAAATTTTTTTTTTAAAAAAAGGCGCATTATTATATTTCATCTACGCATAGAAACAACTATTTATAAGTACTTTGAGCTTGCTTTTTTGTCTGCGTTCAAATTTTGGTGTTTTTAAGGAGAATTAATGTAAAATAATGAAAATTAACTCTTACTTAGTCATTTTAATGCTTATGATTGAAACCTTCCCTCGGCATCATCTCTTTTCTCATTTGCTTGTTTTCTTTTCGAATTGATTTCATGACGTCCAAGCGTTATATACAATTTTCCACCAGACTCAACAATATGCTAGGATTAGTATTAGTGGATATTTTGTGAATTGTTTACCAGTGTAAAAGTAGAGAGCCATGAGCTTTCTTTTTCAGCCTGAATTGCTCGAGAAAATCTCCACGCATGAAATTGATTGTTATTGCTGAGCCTCTCTTTGCATGCGTGTGATCGCCTTTGAATGAGAAAATCTTAGCTGTAAACACATATTTTCAATTACTAAAAACTAAATCATATAAAAATGGATTTGGAACTAGGCACGGTCCCAAACTGAATTCATTTCATTGCCAAAAAAAGTCTTTTTTTTTCTGAAGTAAAGAAGTCCTCGATTTTTCAAATTCATTTGATTTTTAGAATTATCTCAGAATAAATTGACATTCAATTAACAATATTTTGTTGATTTGATTATCATGTCACCCAATTAATCTATTTCTGTGAAAATTCTCAAATATGTATCAATGTTGACCCCAAAATTCCAGAAATTGAATTTTGCTCAAAGTTCGCTTATCGCCATGCATAACAATTAATTATCAGGCTTCCGTGTTATATGATCCACTACCGTCCGCCTACCGTAATCCTACATTGGCCTTTTTTGCAGAATTATCTCATGATCCTCTCGTCAAATTACTCCCCCTGAGCGATGTTTGAAATTCAGAGCTTTGAGGTTTTCGGCCAGGAAAAGTAGAATAGCGCCCTTTTGCGATAATCGCCTCAAATAGTCGTTTTTAGCTGAAGTAACCTGTTACTCGTCTGTTCGCTGCGCGTTGCGAGTGCACTCCACTTTGCACTATCATAAAACTTGTTTTGCACATTCGCCTTAAAAGTGTTCACTTAAGGCTCCACAATCTTGAATATGCTAGAAAAACTAGGTATCTAGACGAATTACCGAAACCTAATGCCAGCACATAAGCAAACTCACATATTCAAGCGGCATGAGGGTAATAGAAGTAGAAATAAAATGGTGTAGCCCAGTTTTGTCTTAGAATATGAGCCTTACAGCCTCATTTCCTTTCCTGTTTCTCTTTTATTCGGCCATTTATAGTTTAATTACAGCGGAAATGCATGTTTTTCTGATTGTAGGTTGAAATTGGCCCGGTAGTCCCGGTTCCCACTCATATGTATCCTTTATAGGCAGTTAATTATATGTAGGGAGCACCTCAGATCTTGTAGTTTTTATGCCTCGTCTTCGTCTAGACATCTTATTT